TAGGAATCTTGCGAACGTTTCAGTATTGTCTCTGCACAGAGACCATGTGAGTTGTTTTCTTCACGATCAGTGAAATAACAAGGACAAAACTCGCTTGAGAGGAGGAAAATGTTTTCAATTTTCTACCTTGAGCAGCTCGATTTCTTTTTCTCATTCAAAGAATCTGTTTCCTCAAGCAGTGCCGAGCACGGATACGTGATGGAGGGCCATACATCTCCCCAAAATAAAGGCCTGAACTAATGAGATGCCGAATCCCTCCTGTTAGTGAGCTCTGTCAGTTCTCCCTGTAGTCGATGGGCATTGAGGATGTTTGGCATTCACGGGAATTGCTGAATGCCTTGCTGGATTGGGCCCTGGGTACCACCAGGCTGATAAAACGAGGGTGGCTTTTTTCTTTAAGGCTAAAGAGCAGGTAGCATAATTTTGAAGTAGATCAGGCTCTGATTTTTACTTCTTCTTATGGAGAAATCCTAATAAAGTAGTTGTTACTGCACAAATAGTTGCTCATCATTTCTGCCTTGTTTCAGATTCTTTGATTAGATGTCTCAGCTAAGGGAGTTAGATAACCTCTTCTCCCAAGAAAACTTGTGTCAGAGCCGTACAAAAAGGTAGTGCTTCCTCATTAGTGGCTAATGTGATTTTAGCACTGAACAGATCTATGGTGAATAGATGTCATCTGTTCTTCAGTTTTTAGCTGTGGTTTTGTACGTGAAATGCTGTTGACTGGAATAATTTTCATCCTGCGCTTCCTGGCTGATTCTGGCAAAGCCATACCCCGTGTAACGCTTTAGAGTGAAAGATCTAAATATTTCTATTAGCAGAAGCGTGTTAAATTTCTTGTGTGGTGTTGGCATAACGGGCTGACATGAAGCAGGCAGATGCTGGACCAAGGAAAGTAGTCGGCTTGTGAAAAGACAGGAACAATTTCAGCTCTATAAACTGATACCTCCTTGAATTCATCCATGAATATTCGTCAAGTTTAGCACTTTACTGCTGTGTATTTAATGCCTGTTTAGGTTAGGCTAGGGTCCTTCAGAGCGGCTGAGGAGGGTGAGTTTGAATTTACATCTCCTTTGCATCTCATAGGTGTATGAATTAATCTAGGAGGAAATGATCAGCATCTTTGTAGATGAAGATTAGTTAACAAAATTGATTACAGAAATTGATTTATTTGTAATGAGTGCGATTAAATACCTGACATCATAGTCCTTTGTAAAGACTGTTCTAGCCAAAGCTTTGGTAACAGTAACTCTTGGATACCTAGAAATTAATCTGTTTTCAGTTAAAATGTCAATGCATATCAATTGGATATGAAATAAACCCATGTCTGTAGCTGCTGTGCTGTTAAGAGGTTATTCATAGCTACATTTTAATCGTATCTCCTTAAACAAAAGTTTTGAAAGTAAATTTGTAAATAAAATACTGCAAGCTATGTTTATGGATGGACTTAAAAAGTGCTGAGGCCCTTGGTATGATTTTTAATTACATGGGCATGGAAAATGTTCGGTTTCTGAGAAAGCTGCATCGTGCGAGTTGAGGCTCGAGATGTGGAGGGTAAATTTAACATAAACTACACTTGGCATGCAAGGAGTATGAAAAGTGATGTGTAAAGCAAATTTAACCTTCACAAATTTAAAACTCTGTAACTCGGAAAGAAATGATGCTTCTGAAGATTTCTTCATAGATCTTGACAACCTGAGCTATCTTTCTATATGTATAAGCTATCTTTTCTGTATATTTCTGGATAGCTGTACAGAGACATTAGATGTATGAAATATAGTTTTGAGACACTGTGCAGCCAAAGTACTGGTACTACATAAAGGACACAAACTTCCTAATTATTTTTTCCCCCCCAAGAGTTCCCTATTTATCCAGTTCTAATCGCTATCAAAGTCTGCCTTCGTGGCTGGGATTTTGCATCCCGCTGTACGTGCCATTCCACCTCCCTTGAGGTGTGAATTGGTTTTGGTCCTCCGAGACCAAAATATTAACTGGCTGTTCTGTTCTGTCAGGCTAAAGTAGAACTATTTCTCATATTTAAGCCGAAAGGCACGTAAGCCTTAAAGCTGGCAGTCTGTAGGCTCGGGATAACACCAGGGCAAATGGGAGACGTTGCTTAATACCCAGGTTAAGTGTACGATAACTCTGATGCTTTCAGCTTCCAGCGAGGGAAGGAGGGGGCATCGCTCCGGAGCACCTCCTGCCGCATGTCTGCGGTGGCAGGAACGGGGAGGCGAGCAGCTGCCGGTACCGGGGCTCGGGGAGAGAAAAATGGACACTGGGGAGGAAGGATGCGTGGCAATGACCTTCCAACCTGGCGCAGGACAGCCTATTTCCTGAGCTGCTGACTCAAGGGTACAGCAAGCCCTCCCCATGCGTGTCCTTGGTTGGGATTGGGCAAGAGAGAGGGAAACAGTGGTCAGGCACCTCAAATTTGCTGGGAAATGTGCAGAACTTGAAACCTGACATGAGGTTTTTGGTGTGAGTCTGGGAACTTATTGCTGGATCTCAATCAAGCATAGCTTGACTACAGAAAAGGAAGGAAAAGCGTGAAGGTTTTCGGTGTTGGTGGTTTGTTTTTTTTTTTCCTGTTGGCAAGTACTATCTTTACGGAGAATGCCTTTAGAATATCTTACATGCAGTAAGCAAGAGCTCTTTCGGTTATCTTGCAATTGGTTTGTATCGCTTTCAAATGAACACCACTAGACGGAGAGGTCAGCCTTGACCCTGGTTTATTCTGTGCCAGTATCGCCTGCTTAAAAACTCTGGTGGCAGTCGCCCCTTTCCACCCCCTGAGGACTTGGCCATTTATTTACAAAAACAACCCTTCTGAAATCCCAACTCCTCAGATTTTTTCTAGATGAAGACCTAATTGTAAGAGTCTGATTCTGCCCCCTGAAAAACTCCATTTACATTAATTGAGATAAAGCAGGAGATGGTCTTTTACAACACACACTGCCAAGCAGGGCCTGATCCTACCACTCGCACGTAACGGATTTTGGTATCCCGGGACTCCAGGGGAGTTGCGTGCAGGGGGGGATGCTACCTGGTGTGCAGGTGGTAGAATTGGGCCCCTGCAACAGAACTCCTTGTTATTTTGCTGTTATCATGAGGTCTCCAAACTTCACTTGCTTAATGTCCTTCTTGATAAGGAATGATCTCTGAAGGCAGTGTCCTGATAACCGTGTAAGGCTCTGGATTTCCCATCTGAATTCATGACTTTTTTTTTTTTTTTTAATTTTTATCATTCTTTGCTTTCCTGTTATCAAGGAGCCAGTAATGTAAACAAACATCACGTCCCTTGCTTAACTGTCTCTGACACCAAATCTCTGAAAATTCTTTCAGTACATCCAGAATACGTGGGCAAAGGCTGCAGAATAAACATAATGTTTCTAAGTATTAAAAGTTGTTTGTTTTTTTTTTCCATCCTGGTTGCAAACTAAGCATTGACTACTGTCTTGATTTTACAGATTATTTCATGCTGAAATTGTGCCTATTTGCATGGATAGTCATTCTTTAAAACTAGCCACAGATGCAGTCCTAGGGAGCACGTAGATGTTTTTACAGGTGAACCGAAAGAGATGGGAGCAATTCCAAAAAGTCTGCATGCTGCCTTTGGCAATATACCCTGTTATTGTGAAGATTGTGCTCTGTTAAGCAAATGTAAAGTTTAATATTAGATAAGCGTCGCATGAAAAATATTTTAATTTTCTTCAGTGTTAAATTTTAAGAAACAGGAAAGAGCGTCTAGTGCTTTATGTGCAATGTGAGTTTAGCATCACTAGTTAATAAGTCACAAATTATGTCAAGAGCCTTTTACAAAATGCAAGGAAGTGTGTTATCTTTTTATGCTGTGTTCCTGGGAAACAATGAGAGTTCATATAAAGAGAAGGTATCTTCCTTTCTCACGCAGCTGATTGATGTTATTTCTTTCATCTTTCCATATTTTTTCTCATCTTTTCCGCATGTCACAGGAAATAAGATTCTGTGTATTCAAAATATTACATGTAAGAAGGGCTTCACTGGGCATTCGAGATACTGTTCTTGGAGATTTTTCTAAAGCAGAGAGATGTGACACTGAACATGCCTCGTTTCTGCTATGCAATAAATTTAATGTCATGTATTTTAGTGTACAAAATACAGAATCTTCAGCCTTTGGTAGCGGGGCTTGGAGAATGTAAGTTAGGAAAAGGGAAGGAATGTATGGGGAATTCAAAACACTCTCATGGCTAGTCACTGGTACATACGAGGCTACGTTAACGAACTGCATTTTGGCCTTTATTTGATCACATCTCTGTAAATATTATAATCCTGACTATAAAATATTTTAATGTATTTTTGCTTTGCTGAATAAATGTTTCCCTAATGATTTAAGAGAGGGGTTTTTTTTCCCCATTGTATGCCTAAATGCGTCTATGATTTCTTTGCTTTTCACATACACATATACTATCCTACCTACAATTAAGTGAAAGTTGTTGTTTTGACCTTCGAATGTTTATTTACCAGTTTTATCTCTCCTTAAAAAGCAAAACTACAATTACAGTTTTTACATCACAATTGAATTTTTTTAATCCAAATTTTATACAATTTCTTGTTTTAACAATAAATCTTAAGTAAGGAGTACTTTCATCTTCTTTTGTAACATGTATCTCAATGCCCTAAATTTAATCAATTGGTTGTCAGAGGCTGTGTTCTTCTAATCTACTCTTTCTTCTGAAGATAAACAGTATCATTTTAGGCATTTGTGCAAGAGAATCATATTACTGGTGCTTAAGCAGTTTTTGCTTTTTTAAATCTTAATCCATCTTAAACCAGTGGAGCAGAAATATTTAAAAATGTTTCATTTCAAGCAGAGTGCATAATAAATTGCAATAATTGTAATGTGCCATAAATCCCAGAGCCTATGCATTTTGCATTTTATTCAGGATTGAGGTCAGGAAATTTGGAGAAATTTAAAGAAAATGATTCATCAGTCCTTTTGTTCTGTTGGCCAGGGTCCCAGGATTCTTGAGCTGAGCCCAGCTGACAAGCTTTTGAAGATGGCACAATAACAGTCCAGTGATGCCTGACCATGACAGCACAGCCCTCTTAAGCAGGCAAACCAAGAGAAGAAGAGTTGACATTGGAGTGAAAAGGACGGTAGGGACAGCATCTGCATTTTTTGCAAAGGCAAGAGCAACGTTTTTTAGTGCCATGAATCCCCAAGGTTCAGAGCAGGATGTTGAGTATTCAGTGGTGCAGCATGCAGATGGGGAAAAGTCAAATGTACTCCGCAAGCTGCTGAAGAGGGCGAACTCGTATGAAGATGCCATGATGCCTTTTCCAGGAGCAACCATAATTTCCCAGCTGTTGAAAAATAACATGAACAAAAATGGTGGCACGGAGCCCAGTTTCCAAGCCAGCGGTCTCTCTAGTACAGGCTCAGAAGTACATCAGGAGGATGTATGCAGCAACTCTTCAAGAGACAGCCCCCAAGAGTGTCTTTCCCCTTTTGGCAGGCCGACTATGAGCCAGTTTGATGTGGATCGGTTATGCGACGAGCACCTGAGAGCTAAACGCGCCCGGGTTGAGAATATAATTCGGGGTATGAGCCATTCCCCCAGCGTGGCATTAAGGGGCAATGAAAACGAAAGAGAAATAGCTCCGCAGTCCGTGAGTCCCCGAGAAAAAAACCAAAACAAAAGCCTCCCGCAACAGCAGCAGCAGAGTTTCCAGCAGCTGGTTTCGGCGAGGAAAGAGCAGAAGCGAGAGGAGCGCAGACAGCTGAAGCAGCAGCTGGAGGACATGCAGAAGCAGCTGCGCCAGCTGCAGGAGAAGTTCTACCAGATCTACGACAGCACCGACTCTGAAAATGATGAAGATGGCAACCTGTCTGAAGACAGCATGCGCTCCGAAACCATGGATGCGAGGGCCGGCGACTCCGTCGGCAGGTCGGACAACGAGATGTGCGAGCTGGACCCGGGGCAGTTCATCGACCGGGCGCGGGCCCTCATCCGGGAGCAGGAGATCGCGGAGAACAAGCCGAAAAGAGAAGGTCCCAAGGAGAAGGAGCAAGGGCCAAACGCCTTCCACCCCGAAGGCAAACATCTGGCCGAGACGCTGAAGCAGGAGCTGAACACACCCATGTCGCCAGTTGGGG